TGGGGCCGGCGTTCCCCCCGTAAGCGCTGCGCGCCCGGGACCGGTGCTCCCCCCGGCGAGCGCGCCCCCCCCCCTGCAAGCGCCCGTGCGCCATGTGCCCGGGGCAAGGCCAGCCCCAAGCACCTGGCGGGCGCATTGAAATGCCCCCGCAGGCGCCATGGCGCCCGCGGGCACCGTGTTGGGGACCACGGATCTAAACCAATTTCAACATGTTGTTCTCACAATGGGGGAAGAGGATAAAGGGTTAATCAGAGTGAATACTATCCCATTTGTGAGGTTTCCAGGTTTCTAGTCTCACTGTGCCTCATTCTGCAGCGTTGGGAGTCCAGGACACAGGCAGCCTCATCTTTCTCCACACATCATGGACAAACTTATGTTCTTTTAGAAATCCATTAGACATAGGACCAGATATTAAACACTGGGTGCGACATATTACATGTGCAACAGTATCATATTCTCCAAGTCTGGCAATGCTCTTTTAGGAATGAAGGGTTCTGGAATGGCTCAGATCTCTGGTGTGGTATTCTGCCTCCACCAGCAGCTTATAGCTGAGACGTCACCTGGCCAACTGTGCTGTACTGGCTCATGAGAAAATGCTAAACATAGCAATTCCTTCCCATTCCTCACACCTGCTTGGCTTATGCTTAGATTTCATTTTCCTTATTTGGCTTCTGAAAAAAATAAATGCCTGTGTTTCAGCTGAGATCATCAGAGGAAAAGCTGCTCTCAAGTCAGAGCCACGACTCTGCCCAATATAAGAATTTCTTACTTTGGACGAGGAAGTGAAATGGAAGCTCTGTGTTTCAACACAGCTGCCATCTCATCAATGAGCAACACTGCTTATGGCAGCATTGATATGTGGAAGGGAAGTCCCAGCTGACTAACATGTTTCGATCAGGGCTTAACAGTCAAATAAAACATACAATTGGGCTAAATGTTAAAACGATGGCACTGTCCAAACTGGAGCTCAAGGAAGATAGGATAGGAAATTGTTCACATTTCTCCATTATAGGCCACTAAAGCCACTGTATTTGCATTTAAAGCTCCTATTTCACATACAGTTTAACCAGGTTGAGATGCTCACCATGCCCCGCTCTCAAAGGAAACAAAGGCAGCAATGTGTAAAAGGGGTGTACTGCTCATACATACAAGAACTAGTTGACTCTACTGCTCTCCTCCAACAGAAGACAGAAATGGGAATAGGAAGCAGAACATTTCACTCTTCCTGATCCTACTGAGGATAATGTACATGTCCCAGTAGAGCCCATCCATAAATGCATTCCCTTGGCAATCACTCTCCTGCTAGCACTTCTCCTCTGCTTGTTAAGGCTGATCTTGCTGAGCTCAGAGTGACCAGACCAGACTCACCACTGCTGCGGCGATGCCTGCAGTCTGTGCTGCAATGGCACTGGCCTTCTTGGCATTTCTGAATCCTTCTGTGCCACAGGACGTATGGGCAAATGACATGTTCTGAGGGCTCAGGACCTGGACATGGGTGCTGGAGATGATAAAAGAGGTAAGGAGCTATAAGAAATTAATTCTTCCATCTTTTCTTACTCTGATTATCTTCAAGGCCACCCAGAAGGGGCCCCCACACCATCACTCCTGCACTCTAGGCCAGGGGTGGCCAACCTGTGGCTCTAGAGCCACATGTGGCACTTCTGAAGTTAATATGCAGCTCCTTGCTCAGGCACCAACTCCGGGGCTGCAGCTACAGGTGCCAAATTTCCAGCGCTCAACTCCTGGCTCCACTTCCTCCTCCAAGCTTATTGTGCTCTTGCGCCTTCCCTCCCAAACAGAGCCTCTTGAGTGCCATGAAACAGCTGACTACAGTGGGCAGGAGGCGTGGGGAAGGAAGAGGAGGCACTGATAGGTGGGGCTGCTGGTGGGCAAAAGATGCTGAAGACGGGAGACAAGGCACCTGATGGGGACTGGTGACAAATCACTGTAGCTCTTTGGCAATGTACATTGGTAAACTGTGGCTCCTTCTCAGGCACAGGATGGCCACACCTGCTCTAGGCTAATGGTTCTCAATTGGGGGGTACGCTGAGGTCTTTCTTCAGGTTAGATCTAGATATTTCCCTAGTTTTACAAAAACACTACTGAAGCCAGTATAAACTAAAATTTCATACAATGACCTGTTTATACTCATCAATATACTATACAATGACATGTAAGTATATTAGTATTCTAACTGATTTTATAATTATACAGTAAAAATTAAAATAAGCAATTTTTCAACAATAATGTGCTGAGATACTTCTGCATTTTTATGCCTGATTGATTGTGTGAGCAAGTAGTTTTTAAGTGAGGTGAAACCTGGGAGACAAAACAGACTCCTGAAAGGGGTACAGTAGCTTGGAAAGGTTGAGAACCACAGCTCAAGATAACTTTAGAAAGGTCTGCAACACCCCTGGTTTCTCTTACTAGAGTGGCAGAATGAGAGTACTGTTTTTTGGGGTAATATACTCCTACTAGTAATTGTTCAAATGGGGAATTCACCTTTCCAGACCCACTTCCCCACTGCAGAGTCACCATCTCTGCTTATTTTAAAGTGTATAGAACACTTTTGTTAATTTATTACTCTGAAAAGTTCTCTAAATCTTATGTCACATTAGGGATCAATAATGAATCAAAGCGGTTTTGCTGCGGGCTCTTTTACATGACCTGTACACCAAGAAGTTTGTGTCTTACTTGTTATATGTAGCTTTGATGTGAGCTATTGGGATATCTTCATATTTCTTTCCACCCCAACTCAAGGAACTTTCCTGTCCTGGTATTGGGGGAAAAATGCTGAAAAGTAAAATAAGAGAAATCAAATACTTGCAATCTCACTAACACACAATAATTTTTAATAGTCTTTGGAATTTGGAAAAAACATGGATCAAATGCTGCCAAACAAAGCTCAGAATTTCTTATTGGAACTGTGTTTTTGTGATTGTCTCTAGTCACTTGCTTTTCTTACTTTCCTGAAAGATGCTTGACGTGAAAGATGCTTGAAGTGATTTATCCCCTATAAGAAACAAATGAAGATACTTTATGCCACAACTTGGTTTGGAGTTGTACAGGATGCCTCACCTGATTACACCTTGACTTTGGTTCTCTGTCACCTCCGATGCAGAACTTTCTGTATTCTTTGTAAGTTCCTGCAACCTCTGGAAACCAGTGTGTATGCCACGACACAAGGCAACATTGCCACCACTAAGCGAAACAAATGGGAGAAATAGATTAGGAATTCACAGCTACACAAAAATCTTTTACATTATCTTTTTCCACCCTCACATAAGACCTCCCACAGAATATTTTCACACAGGAAACAACAAAACCTGTTTGCTGACTGCAGGACTATCTTAAACAGTCATCGCCACCCTTTGGGTTCTATAGTCACCTTCAGGAGCCAAATAGTAACCACCCCAGGAATATTGTCTCTTTTTCAAGGGACATTGTCAGGTCTCCACATTCCAAGTTTTTATAAAAATAAACATTTGGGCAACTGAGGGCAGTTTTCAAAATAAAAATAAACTCAGACAGCATCTTGGCAGTGCACAAGAAACAGAAATGGAAAAGGGATAGGCTAGGTTCACTGACCAGGATCTATGGAGGAGGAAAAGCAAACACACACGGAAATGTGCACTTTGAGATACTTTGTTATAATATTTTAGTAGCACAGAGGAGGGGATTTTGTGTGTCTAATTTAATTTGTAGCTTGATCACAACCTTTCTGAAGAGGCACTCAACTGAGAGCAAGTTTGAAAATAAAACTGCATCAATAAAACAACAGTTTTGCCCAATCATTTCCTGCCATGACTGTTATTCCCTAAGAGCCTCTACCTCAAGCCCTGGATTTCTCTGTTTTGCCTAGATTCTGCAGGAGGTTATCTGTTGATATGGAAACAACAGCAACATCACATAGTATGACCTTGTTACAAGTACAGCTTGGAAGAAGGAAGCACTTGTTAAATGCATGTAGCTTTAATAATTTAGTTAATTCTACCCTAACCAATCTTATAATCCAGCAGAGCCCCTCCCTCTGTGTATCAATCAGAGTTGCTGACTTTGTCAGCTACATCAGTTTCATTAGTTGGAGAGTGAATTGGTTTCTGTTGCACCCCAGGCATCTGTACAAGGGTGAAGCGTTGTAATGAGAAGGCGCACAGGCTGTATATAAGACAGGGGTGGGGAAAAGGGGCCTCCGCAGGGCAGGTTGATCTGGCCCATGGATGCCCTGTCACTCCCTGACTGGTCTGGGGATGGGGGAGCATGTGAAATCTCCTCCCCCATCAGTGGCATGTGGCTATTAGTCAACCACCGTGCACCTGTTGCAAAGCGGGGGAAGAGAGTGAGAGACTTTGTGCTCTCCCTGCCACCACGGAGTGGGGGGCAAAAACTTCACATGCTCTCCCCCCCCCACTCCCAGGCCAGTCAGGGTCTGTGGGTGGGAAACTATGAAAGTGTCCTGGCCCCACCCATTTTGCCCGAGGCATCGCCCCTTTTGGGGCAGCCTGAGGCCCCCAGTTCAAAAATGTCTGAAGTGGCCGCCTGATATTGCCCACCCCGATATGGGAGGAGAACACAAAGAGTGTGGTTGCACTGACGGCCCTGGGAACAGAATATTACTAATGTCCAAATGCAACCAGAGGGAGCCTAGCCCAAGTCTGCAGGCCTGGCGGTCAGAACAAATGTTTTTATTTGCACTCTGAGCAATCTGGCTCTAGAATCAAGAAATATGAGACTAGCAAGGGAGCCCCACAGCACTCACGTGGTGGAGGCACTGCATGGAGCAGAGCCATTCTGAACCCACTGTGCAACCCAAAATGAAATGTGGCTATGCAACCAGAGGGAGCCTAGCCCAAGTCTGCAGGCCTGGCGGTCAGAACAAATGTTTTTATTTGCACTCTGAGCAATCTGGCTCTAGAATCAAGAAATATGAGACTAGCAAGGGAGCCCCACAGCACTCACGTGGTGGAGGCACTGCATGGAGCAGAGCCATTCTGAACCCACTGTGCAACCCAAAATGAAATGTGGCTGCTGTGGATAAACCAGCCCCAGAGCATTGCCATCAGCCTGCAGCCAGGACCCCAATGCCCTGGCTGGCCACCCGCTGCCCCACACAATTTTCAACCAAGGGACTCG